AGGTATGCGAGTTGCAGCCAAAATAATGAAACTAATATTCAAACACTAGTTTCAAATATTACAGTAACTGATTTTGACATAGCAAATTACATTAAATTTAAAGGACCCACACCAAATTTTGAGGTAATTGATATTTTAAGCAATATATAGTACCCTGATAAAAATTATACTTTTCTGATTACACTTACAAAATCAAAAAATTTGAAATTTCAAATACAGTGGTTTTTGAAATGGCATTGCTTGGGATATTCTATAAAAAAGGATGGTGCCTTCTGCAAATATGCTATTTTCCATGAAAGAAGTAGGTACCCTCAAAAATCAGAGAACTGGAAAATCAATATCAGAACCTTTCAAAAAGAGAAACCATGCTGTAGAACATTTTAAAAACCCCGATCATTAAAATATCGCCAACAATGTCTCGAAATTTACTCAAATTTGAAAAAAATTAGTGAAAATTCTATTGTTAGTATCGACAAAATATTAGACAAAAAGAAAGCTAAAGAAGTTTATAAAAAATCATCAAATTTTATGTTCTATTATTAAAACTGTAATTTTCAAGGGTAAAAAAAGGAATTGCTTTAAAAGGGTACTCGGATTATGGTCCCTTAAATTTAACCAAGGAAACAAGTGAAAATGAAGGAAACTTTCAAGCGCTGGTGAAATTTCGTGTAGAAGTTGGAAATGATGTTCTAGAAAAACATTTGAAAGACAGTGGAAAAAATACTTACATCAGTTGGAGAACACAAAACAAAATAACTTCATCAATCAATGAAATTATATTAGAAGATATTGTCAACCATATACACAAAAGTGAATATTTCAGCATCACTGCAGACAAGACAGCTGATATTGTAGGGATTCAGCAGTTATCTTCAGCTGTATGCTTTATTCATGATGAATTCCTACAATTTATTCCAGTTGCAAGTTGTACTGGCATTGATCTAGCATCAATGATTTAAAAATCTCTGGAATCATTAGAATAAATTCATCATTTTTGAGGGAACAAGGTTACAGTAGAGCTAGATCAATGAGTGGGAAACTGCAAGGCATAAATGCTCATTAAAAGGAAAAATATCCTTTTGCTTTATACATCCACTGCAGTTTGCACGGTTTAAATCTAGCAATATCCGTTTCATGCAATATATCGAAGATCCAGAATAGAATGGAAATTGTAACAGGAATTTATAATCTTCTTCAAACACGAAAACGACAACATTATCTAAAATCGAAGAATATTGCCCAGAGTAAAATAATAATAATAATAATAAAAAGTTGGAATATGCATGACAAGATGGGCTGAAAAACCCGATTCTTTGATCGTCTTGGAGGAGCTTTTTAGCAGTCCTTGAAAAAATTTCTTTTGGAAAGACAGAGACATCTCAACTCATTCATGTTTAATTCATGCCTCATTATTAAAATCAGGTTTCTTAATATCCTTGTGTTTAAGTAAATTGTTTGCGGAAACTAAAAAAGTCTGTGAATATTTACAATCAATTACTCTTGATTTGAAGAAAATTTTAAATTAAGCAGAATCAGTAACTGAAAGCCTTGAGGATTTTAAAATTGATTTTTATTATACTTTAAATATATATATATATAAATATGATGAAGGTGAACAATTACTGAAAGGTCCAGAAGGAAATAATGAAGAATTGAAAATGCCCTAGTTTCACGAAGGAAAATGCTCCAGTTATCATAATAATGTCCCAGCTGCTAATGCTGAAGAATACTATGGGCAAAGTATTTTTCTACCTTTTATAAACATGATCACAGTACTCAAACTACAATTGCAGGAGGAAAATAATATTTTGGGAAAATTTTTGTGCTTGATGCATAATGCACAAACTTATAATGCAGAAAACGTAAATGACTTGAATTTGACTGAATTTTGTTGAAAAGGTGAACCTTTATTTCAATAGCACAGAAATGTTTTACTTTCCAAGCTGAAATTCTTTAAGACGATATTAAAACATGATTCCTCACTATCTGCATTTGAATATTATTTGTTCCGCAATGATGAATTTTATCCTCATTTTAAAAGACTTTTAAGAATTTTTGTGCAGTCTTTCAATAACGAATTGCATAAACAACAGATCTTTCTTGACTTTGAGATGGCTAAAAACATACTTAAGAAGTACCATGCCTAATTAACATTCCCATCACTCCTGAGGAATCTGTAAATGAAATTGCAAAAAAAGGCAAGAAAACTAGATTTTATTCTGTGACTATTTGTAAGCCTACAGGAGCAGACTGGTGACTGTAAATGAAAACATTGTAATCATCATGTTTTTAGTTTTATAGTTACAGATTAAAGTGAGATTTTTTTTCTATGACTTGGCATTTCTATAATGATGAATTTGCTTTGCTGTTTTATTTTTGAATTATGAAAAAAGTAAATACATAAATTCTTGTGCTTTCTGATAATTTAATAAAGTATTTGTTATTAATAATTTATTTTATTAATGAATGCTAATTATTTGTTTAATAATTTATTTTTTACTATTCTTTTGTTCCCAACAATGGATAAAATCAAAAGCGTATATTTCACGGCATACTCGGGTATAATACAAGAATGGCAAACTTTCGATCCTCAACCTCCCCTCTTGAAAAATTCATGTGTGTGCCACTGCCTACCAAATACATCAACTTTTGAGCCTGAAATACGTTTCCCCACCCAAAAAACATTTTTTTACATGATTTCAAATGTAAACTTTTGATATTCAAATTCAAAATAAATAAAAGTACTTTTATAATTTTATCCTGGAAGATAAGTTCTTTTTCCATTTTCTTATATTCCTAATTTGTGTCTGAAATGTATTTTTTTCTTTTTCAAAATTTTACATAATTTTAAATGCACACTTTAGATATTCAAACTAATGACAGATAATAAATTTCTTTTTCCATTCATTTGGCTTTTCTACCACAAACTGCACTTTTTTATAAACTCAAATAGCCTGAATTGTCATCTGTATATCATTCAGCATTTTCTGAACTTTTACAATATTAAACTCAGCTGTATTAGAAAAAATTAAACACAGAAAAGAAATTTTTAATGCTAAAAAAAGTGGATTTAAATGAAGCCTGATGCACTATAAGCTAATATATACTGTTTCTTTAATTCTAGGATGCATAATTTTTTTCAAGTATCAACATCCCATGAATTCTTACTGGGTTTGTACATATTTCTGCAAATGAAAATTAATTACTCTTTAAGACTTTCTTTTGTAGTACTATTCAAGAATAAAACAGATCAGTGAGAAGGATGCATTATTATAAAACATAATCTAAAATTAACATAATTATAAAACAAATTCGAGAATAAAAACAATTTCATGAAACTTATCAAATAATTAGCATTAAATTAAAAGATTGTCTGATACATTTATATTTTACACTTATAATAGTCCCACATATTTTAAAGCAAATTAGTGACATTTTTAATGTTTTGCTAACAATTAACTTTATGATGATTTTTTCTTTTATACCTCATTTTGTTATGCAATTACTCAGTCCAGAGGTTTAGTAAATAACAGGTAAGTTTTATGTCAAAAGGCACAGGTTAAAATGACAGGTAAGCTCATACTCAGCATGACTTGTAACAGAAACTTGGCAGTTGTCATCACTGTTGTTTGCCTAGACATGCTGATCAAAATAGACTTGAATGCTTGATGTTAATATGGTTGGTAAACTAGTTATGCTTTGTCTGTCGGATCCAGTTATTGCCATAGCTTCACGTACAGAAAACTGCAACAGTACGTCCTTTTGAGGAACTACAAATTTTATTGAATAAATATTTTCAATCCTTTTTTCGCTTCCATTGGTTTATAACTTTAATCATCATGCACTCGTAATAAGTCTCTCTACAATTGAAAATGGCATTGCATTTAAAGGTGATTGCCCAATTTCAATCCTCCTTTTTACTAAAAAATCAGCCAGCTCATTACCAAACAGACCATAATATAAAGGCATCCACTGAAGAACAATGGTCTAGCTTCCAGGTTTAAGAACTCAACAGAAAGTTTTCTGAAATAACTAATGTTAATATAAATAATTAAATGATAAACTGCAGTTGTAATACTAAGTTAACTAGGTAAATACACATAGCTGCAGATAACTTTTAATTACAAGAGTCTTAACATGTACATACTTAAGAATCCCATTTAATTACCTTGATTTCATGAACTGCATAAAGAAGTCAAGTACATATATATCATATGATCTAAAAAGAAATTATTTTGGTTCAACATTTAATAAAAATCTGACAAGTTCATTTTTGAGTTTGAGACAGTATGCAACCTCCAAATGAAAGTACAGCTCCAGTACAGTTTACCTTTTCATGTCTATATTTTATGAATGTGTGTCTATTTCATGTAGTGTGTACTGCTTCCTGAAACTGAAGAAATGCTACATTCAATAATTGCTGCTTATTTTTAAAAAAAATTAAGAGCAAATTAGAAATGTTGCACTTCATCTACATAATTTTATTTCATAACCACACAATAATCCACCTTAGTTTCAGCACTTTTTTAAATCAAATAGGTAATAAGCTATTCTTGTTTTCACAATAATTATTTTATTTCAACATTTTTGCTTCTTTTCTCAATTTATTGAGGCAGTAAATGTTTTCTCTGCAGTAAAATGTGGTTAAGCACAAATAAAAGAGTTCTGTGAAAGGTACTATAAATATCAATAGCTAAATCTAAAAACAAAATTCTTTTATAAATATTACTTTTTAAAAACACAACTAAGTACTGGAATAAACAGATGATAAAAAAAAAAAAAAAAAAAAAAAAAAAAAAAAAAAAAGCATTTTGGTCTGAAGGATAGCCAAAAATGGATTAAATTAGGATTCTTAACATAATATGAAAATATACCTACTAAATACAAATGTGACATATTTAATCAAAAACATTTTTACAAATGACAGCAACAATTTTAACCAGTAATCTACAATATTAATTATGGATAAAGATATTAATTATGACAGAAATAAAGCATACCTAAGATATTCTTCATGCTGGGATATAAGTGGAGATGGATGAGGCATGGAGCCTCCCATATGTGCATACCTTTCACGTTCCATAAGAATTTGCCTTTGCAGCTGCTCATGATGAATTTGAGCTTGTAACTATGGCACAAAAATCAAAAAATGTAGTAATGTGACAGTAAGGTAACTCCTAAATAATTAGAAAATAACTTTAAAATATACCTGATGAGCAAACTGTTCTTCATATGGAGGTCTCAACATCCCAGATGCAGGATGCAAAAGTTCTGCTCGTGGTACAATCCCTGGTCTAGGAGCTCCAGAAGCATAACCAGTAGGAGGCAACAAAGGATGTGTACCTGATGAGGGATGTACACCAGGTTCCATACCTGGATGAGGTGGCACTCCCATAGCAGCAGCAGCTGCAGCTGCAGCTGACACAGCATCATGAGGATGCAAATGTAGGTGGGTATGTGCATGAGCATGAGTATGCGCATGCGTGTGAAGCTCTGGAGCAAGTCCAGCCATTTGTAAACGCAAGAGTGGATCAGTGCCAAGCATATGAGCTCTTTCAGCATTTAAGCGGTCAATTGCAGCTTCAGAAACAGGAACATTTGGTGGTATACCCAGCCTCTCACGTTCAGCTGGGGTATATAAGCCAAAAGGTCCATGATTCATACCTGCATGGGCAGGTGTAAGACCAACTGATGGACCACCTTGCAAGCCACCATATCGTCTCTGAAGTTCTATTACATGTGGATCATAAGTCAGAGGCAAACGTGTTTTCATTTCATATTCGGCTTTCAATTTATCATGGAGATCACGCTCTCTTTTTTCCCTCTCCATTTCTATTTCTAGTCTGTAGCTGTAATTATAAAAAATATAAATATGTGCAAAATGGTCATAAAATACGCATTTAATTCTTTTCAGCTTTCATTTTTATAAATACTTTTGAATTTCATTTATTACAAAGCACATTAATTTAATAATGGATTTTTGTCTTGGTTCTCATTCACTTAACCACATTGGTCTTTCCTTATATTATGTATCTTTTTTATCTTATGCTGTAAGTCCTATCCAATTAAACAGAATTAATTTCTAAAAGTTGCAGAAAGAATATGAAATGCCCTCACCTTTTAAATTATTTAAACTTTATCAAAAAAACAAAGGAGGTACTTATCCAGCTTTTCAAAATGAAATTAATATGTATAGATGAAATATATAAAAAAATTGCTTAATTTTTATGTTTTAAATTAATCACTTTAAGGACTAAAAATATAACATAAAACACATATTTTTAATTCCAATTAAAGTTATATTCCAAGTACTATATCAATAACAGAAAAAAGGTTAAGAGTTCATGCTCTCTCACAGAGCATGTACAATAATTGCTACTTTTGTTGGTGATAAATTTCCGTCATAACTATTTTTTAAAACAGATTCAATTATATTCACTAAGTTAGTATTCTTCAGTGTGGCAACAATCTGTACTACAACAGTTTGAGATCTCAGGAAGACCTCCAATAAATTTGCACTCACAATTGTCCATATCAATATGATTATCTCCCAACCACTATAAGGAACCTGGCTGTGGAAACAGCTGCCTGGTCTGACCTACACAAAAGACCATTCACAAATGGCAAAAATACTGCCTCCTCTCAAAGCACTACCGAAAGAGGAAACATTTGCAAAGCATTATGACTACCTGCCACTCAAGAGTCGGGACATTCAGTTATAGCGATTACAATAAGGATCTTATGATCTGAAAATTAAAAATCTGCTGAAGGCCAACAAATGAATGATAACCAAAAACATATAGACTGCCTCGCAAGTTTTTCTAATTCCATCCATCTGAGAAAATGGAATGCCCATGGCTACTAGCGGAGCAAACTGCATCACTCCTCCTAATTTTTTTCACACCCTGAAAGCCCAAACAAATATGCCTTCTTTATACGAACAAACTCCAAAGAAATCTCAGTATAAATGCCCCCATTAAATTATCAACAACTTAAAAAATATATTTTTGTTCAGCCAATGGCTTAGTTTTTAAATCCCTCTCCAACCAACCAAAATACTGAAGTTGCTAATAACCAAGGCTTCAACCCTTTACAAGACATAAATTCAACCTCCTGTTTTCTTTTGAAGAAAGAAAGTTACACCCTATATTTAACTACTGAAAAATTCCTTCAAAATGCACAGTTAAGAGAAAAACTCCCAAGTTCCATTTTCTGTTGCAAATGAGCAATATAGATACAAAAGCCTTGATGCTTTTATCCTCTTCAGACAAATGCAAGCTCAAGCAAATAGCGTAAAAATTATTTTTCTCACGCTAACATCTGCTGGTACATGCTAACTATCAACAATTCAACCCCTGTACTTCTTCCCTTAATCCAGCTGTTAAAAAAATCTTCCATCTCTGTCTATGGCCTCACCCTATAATTTGTAAACTGAAAGAAAATTAATATAGACTGTAGAATCAAATACATAAAAAAAACTTTTATATTTTCAAAACTACTTATTACTTTAAACCTAAATAATTATATTTAGTTTAAATTGCTTGATCTTACATGATAAAATTTTGTAGCCCAGCTAAAATATGATTTTTAGCTGTCTACGCTAACTGATGGACTGTACAACTTAAAAGTTTCATATTACAAGAGTTCTCAGAAAACAAATAAATTATTGAAAACAAACACATTTTAACACATTTGGTTTTTACCAAACACAAGTCTTTGGTAAAAATAGCACTAAAAATAAATTCTAAAAATGAACTTTTGCTATTCTATGAGAAAATTTTTCAAAGGACTATCGCTGATATAAACACAAAAGTTTTAGAATAAAGTTGAATTATTCTAGATCTGAAATGACACCACCTTATTTAGTTGGAATATAAGGAGCTTTACAATAGAAAAATATTTTTTAATTATAGAAATATATGACTTTGATACTAATTTTGATACTTACATATTATTCCTTTGACCATGAAACAGTACAATTTAGTGCCATTTATGGATGTGACTTAACAACACACTTGTAATATCTACACATTTGTTTGATGTATAACCCTGATTGATTCTTGTACCACGTTTTGCTTTTATGAACAAGAAAATAAATTAACTGTTATTGCTGAATTTTTCCTTATGGAGGAGAGATTAAATTTTGGAACTGTTTTCTATACAGCAGCAAGCAGTGGATTAATTTAAAATTATGGGAAAAAGTGTGTATTAATGGACATGATATCGTAAGCTAAGTATAGCTGACAAAACAGTAATAAATTGGAACTATTCCCTACAGGAAATTTATACTCTTAGCATTCTAAACAATGCTTCTGGTAAAATGAGAGCCTAACAATCTAGTAGAAATCAACGAAAGTCATGAAATAGGTTCCCTTCTGTTCATTATTTTTTACATTACACTTTCAAGCCTGTATTTTTTACATGAAATAAGTTCCCCTCAATTAGGAGTCAAAAATACAGGTGGGTTTAAAATATAATTCCATATGACAGAACATCATTACACTTTTTGAACTCAACATACATATACACATTTCAGATCAAGAGAGCAATCAACTGAAATTATAAAAAATATCAATATAAGAACGCTTCTATGCATATGAATATCAAAAAAGCATGATAAGTATTCATCACCTTTCTCTGGCAGCAGCACCATACATTCCTGAACTTAACTGATAATGTAAAATGGGATCAATTCCATGAGGAAGAACACCAATAGGTTGTCCAGGTCGAGCATAGCCTGGAGGGAAAGATGCAGCATGTGGGCGTGCATATTCACTCAGCTGTCTTAAAGCAGGGGTGTCAGGTCCATTTCTTTGAACATGTCTATCAAAAGGACTAAGGTGATGCCCATCAGCCTGAGAACTTGAGCCTGCTTTATTTTCAGGAGTGGAACCTAATCTCTGCAAGAAATAAATTAGTTTTTAATAAAAGAAAAGCACGAAAACATGATTTGCTATAATTTTAAAGCACACTACAAGGCTTATAGCTTTTAACAATAGTTCTTTTCTTAGATATAGTCTTGCATTTTTACTTCCAATTTGCTATAAAATTTGATTTGCATTTCACTGCTTTTAAGTTCTAAAGAAATAACTATGACCTATAATCATTAAAGACCCCAATTAACCAGTGTTTAAAATATGTTTACTTATAGCTGGAGCTGTATATGTTATTTACATATAGAATTTATTGATTATGAAAAGGCATTTTTCAAATGCATTATACAACAGTTTTTTACAATGGGTATCAAAGTATGAATGTTAACTTTTTATTATTATTATTCTTTCATTTTGTTATTCTGTTCTTTTCATCTTTATTGAATGTAGATGTGATCCTATTTTTATCTTTTGTTCTTCAAAATGCATCTTCTTCAATTAAATTGACTTTTTGAAATTTGACTTATGAAATAAAGATCACTCATTCTTCGTTGCTATCTCTTTCTGTTTGCCAAGTTTCATCACTTTCTGGCCACTCCTTCTTGGAGTTTCATTTTCAATGTCGGGTAATGTATTATGGTGAAAATAGAGTGAGTGTGTCATTTGAGTTATCATAGGATGCTGTATCAATATTAAAGAGTTGTGGAGTTAAATTTGAGGAAATTGAGATTGAATGATAGAGAGTTAGAAAAACTATGAATAGAAAATGGACCAAGCGAGGATGAGATGTTGGGAGTTCAAAAGCTAAAAGTCGTAGGATTAAATGAATATCCTGATAAAATTGAGTTGTCATTGGATGTGAAAGGTTTGGTGGATTTTTGGAAAACAGTGTTTCACAGACAGCGACAAGGATCTTTGATCCCATTGGTTTGATTGTGTCATTTTTTTTTACATTTAAATTTTTCTACCTATAGCTACTGTTATGGTAAATTTGGGAATTTCCCATTACAGTATTTTATAGAGTTTACTGTATTTCCTATAACAGTTCCATTTTGTCTTCAGAAAAGTGACAGTTGGCTTGAACAATGGGTTAAAGGGATACCAGATGTAGAGAGTGTGTCAGACAGTAAAGGGAGGATTCAGTTAAAATTTTCACAGTTCAATTAATCTAGTTGAGGAGTTTTGGAACAGACTTTTCAGTTTGAAACAAGTTGAACAGAACTGTCGACTGATGTTTAAAGTTTATCAGAAATGTGAGGAGGGATAGGATTTTGATTCCTTTCTTAGAAACAAGTGAACTAAAAGAAGCATATGATATTATAATCAAACTAAAGAACTGACTTCAATAACTATTTTAAAGAAAATAAAAATATTAAAGAAAGAAGAGTCCATTAATTTCTTTTAATCTGCTCTTGGACAACAGTGGGTTACTATGTATGGCAAACCATCTGTTTATGTTCAACTTGTTTCAAACTGAAAATCTGTTCCAAAACTCCTCAACTAGATTAACTGAACTGTAAAACTTTTAACTGAATCCTCCCTTTACTGTCTGACACACTTTCTACATCTGGTATCCCTTTAGCCCATTGTCAACCCAACTGTCACTTTTCTGAAGTCAACATGGAACTGTTATAGGAAATAAAGTAAACTGTATAAAATACTGTAATGGGAAGTTCCCAAATTTACCATAACAGTAGATATAGATAGAAAAATTTAAATGTATAAAAAATGGCACAATCAAACCAATGGGATCCTTTGAAAGATTAGATAATACTGCCTAAGAATCATCTTGTTAAAAAATTATTAGTGAAATTTTATTTTCTTAGTCACATGTATGGAAGAGTAGAACTGGTTATTTCTGTGGTAAAAATATTGGATTATAAGAGCAAGCACTGTAATATACATAGTGTAAGAAAATGCATTATTTGCACCAGGTTTTTGTTTGTGTTTTGAAACATACGATGGCAGATTTACTTTCTGCGAGAACATATCTCAGAAGAGCATTTCTTAGATGTGGTACTGGTTTTGCCAGGCCATCAACCCTTCATGTGGCAGGGGAGTTAAAGCACTGAAAATGTATGTGTGAGTGTTTGTGTGCTTCACTACAAAAGCCATCCATTTAAAGCCTGTTAGTTGTTTTAGTGCTCAGACATGTATTGCAGCACTAAAATGATTCATTGGTCAATGAAAGAAGCCAGCTGAAATATTCAGTAACAGTGGAACGAATTTTATTGGGGCAAAGAATTATTTAAAATCCTGTTCAAGAGACAAAATTGGTACTTACTTGACCAATGGAAGCACTAAATAAACAATGAATGTTCCATCAGCCCATCATTTTAGAAGCCTATGTGAGGCAGCTGTTAAATCCACAAAGATTCACATGAAAAGTGTTAAAGGATCACAGATGCTGTCAAAAGAAGTTTTCTACATTGTATGGTGGAGATTGAAGTACTTAACACCCATCCTTTAGTGGCTGCTTCTGAAGGTCCAAAAGATTTTTCTATCACTACAGCGGGTCACTTCATTATCAGTTTAAAGTTAAAAAGGTGTGCATGAACCTGATTTTAAGAATGAGAAAATTCCCATCCGTGAATAGTGGAAATTAGTTATACAGATTTCCCACTCATTTTAGAAATTGTGGTCAAAAGACTGTCTGACTCAGTTGCAAGTGTGCAACAAGTGGAGATTTCCTAATTACAATTTATATGTGAATGATTTAGTGTTAATTAAGGATGAAAATTTGCTGCCACATAAGTGGAAAATGGCAAGAATAATTCACACCTATAAACGAACTGACAAGAGAGTAAGAGCAGTGAACTTGTAAACTGTTCCAGGCAAAAGAGATCAATACATAAACTGGTCCAATTTTCCCATAGAAAACTGATTGATTTGATTTATTTATTTTACATTTTAGGTTTACAGTTAGCTTTGTTTAATTTTTATCTGAGGCTGACAACAGTGTCATATGGAAGCCCAGTGTGTTACTACATCCACTGTGTTGTGGTCAGTCAAGAGAGGATCTTCCTTTTTTGTATCTTCTTTTTTTGCTTTGTATCCAGTGTGTGTGTGCGTATAGCTGGAATAAATGTGTTGCTTGCTATGGTGATCCTAATTTTTTCTAGAAGAGTTTGATTTCTGTCCGCCTGTATAATGCGGAAAGTACCTCCTGTACACATTGGGAAAAAAAAAAAAGTTACGATAAAAATGCTTTCTGAAGATTTTGATTAAATGAAATTGCTACGATGCTACTAAATTTACACACTGTTTTAATGAGACTACAACTCTTTGATATTTAAATAGCTCCTCATAAAATTCAAAAAAGTGCTTTGTGGAAAATGTGAAACATAAAATTACTCTATTTCATATGCATAAGACACATTATAAGCAATCAATAAATAATACTAGAAATTTAAATTTAATTATCCTTGTGAATGAGCTGAAATATAAAGTGCCGAATAGATTAAAAAATATTCAGTTTCATTATGTGTAACTAATAATAATTAAAATCAGGCATAAAACCAGTTTCCTACAATGCAAATAAAAAGCAATTTTCTAATTTTTTATTTTGAACTCCAAATATATTTAATAATTAAAGCATTTGACAGTTTGAGATGCAGTTGCGAAGATAATTATGAAGCTGAAGTTTCATGGTGTCTGTATTTTAATGGTAAATATTGCTTTTTATATAATTATACATCAAATCAGACTAATAGTTACCTGATTTACATATCTATTTTCAGATCAATAAATAAAAAATGCTTTTTATGGTCCTTCACATGAATATATTAATGTACACCATAAAAATTTATCTAAAAGTATTAAAAAAAACTAATTTAAAAAATTTGATACTTACTGCTTTAGTCTCTTCTCTCTCTTTTTCTGCAGCTTTCCTCGCCCTCTCTTCTCTTTTCCGTGCAAGTTTTGAATCAGGTACAGGTTTAAATGTAAGATCCGTTCTGGCACATGAATTGAATTCCCCTCTGTTCCAATGACGCAGGAAACTGAAAAGTATTTAATGAAGTGAATACATTTCAAAAAAAATTTATACACATTCAAAACATGCACATATGCAATATATATATATATATATATATATATATATATATATATATATATATATAAAAGAAAAAAAAAAGAAAAAAAAAAAGAAAAAACAATTTTCCCTTGTAAACGTTCTGTAGGACCACTGAACAACAGTTTCAAAACAATACTTACAGTTCTACATATGTAGTATACACTGGTGTGCAAAAATTAAGGACGAAGTCGAAAAATTAGCATATCAGCTGAACGAAGAGGCAGAGTGGACAGAAAGACCAATCAGGAGATTAAGTAAGGTGATGTACGGTAACACATGCGCAGATATGCAGGTAGACGTAATGGGGGACTGTCTGAGTAGTATAAAGCATGTTGTCGGTGTAAGATCAGTATTTCCGGCAAAGAGATTGCACGCATTGATATAGCAGTTAAAATCACACCGAGTTGCTGCATCAGCGAGAAATGGCGAATAATCAATCTGTTAGATGACATCTGGATGCTTTTACCCGAGGTCGAATCATTGGGAAGTTGGAGGAAGGCCACAGTGTGACAAGTGTGGCTGCAGAGTTCGGAATTGCTCACAGCATCGTTTCACGACTTTGGAGACAATTTCAAACTACAGGAACAGCTATCCGAGGGTTTAGTAGTGGTCATCCACGAGGAACCACACCCGCAGATGACCGGTATATTGCCTTACAGGCCGGAGAAACAGGCGGCAGACAGCGGGAGAAATCGCTACACACAACACAGGTGACTGAACGACCGATATCGCGTTTTACCGTGGCTAGAAGACTGCACGGTGGTGGTCTGTTTGCACGACGCCCTGTACGGTGTGTACCTCTAACGCCTGCCCATCAAAGAAGGCGTTCTCTGTGGTGCCGGGAACACCGGAATTGGAGAGACAATGAATGCGGACGAGTACTCTTTACAGATGAGAGCAGATTCAGTCTGAGTAGCGATTCTCATCGCATACTCATCTGGAAGCCGCAATCATCCCTCGAACATCATTGAAAGGGACAGGTATGGAGGTGGCGGTGTTCTCGTTTGGGGAGGCATCATGCTTGGTAGTCGTACAGACCTTCACATCTTAGACGCAGGTTCAGTCAACGGGACCCGTTATTGTAACGAGATTCTTCTTCCATATGTGTGTCTTTTTGAGGTGCTATGGGTCCGCAGTTCCTTTTCGTGGATGACAATGCACCATGTCATTGCACAGTAGCTGCCGAACAGCTCTTAGAGAGCGAGGATATTGAACATATGGATTGGCCGGCACGATCTCTGGATCTCAAGCCCATCGAGCATGTATGGGATTTTCTGGCAGACGCTTCGCAGCTCGTACCTTACCACCAGCAACGATTCTGGAGCTTCGATTGGCGCTGCAAGACGAGTGGGCAGCAATGCCTCAACAACTCATTGACACCCTCATTCTCAGCATGGGCAGTGATTCTCAGCAAGTGTGCTGTGAAACCTACCTAGCAGACAGGGGAGATCATATCCCCTATTAAAACTGGATGTTTCTTGCTGGACACTCATCACAAGGATGTTTCGGCCTTCAGTCGCATTGCGCTCCATGCTACTTTTTCAATAAAGCTTCTTTTTATCCCTCTGATTTCTCTTTTAGTAAGTGTTGCTTACATTACTCATGTCCTTACGTTTTGGGGATCTTGCGGTATTAAATGAGTTGATTTGGAAAGCTTTTGTACAAAGTTATATTGAAAAAACCGTCTCGTCCTTAATTTTTGCACACCAGTGTATATCTCAATTATTTGGATAAGGCCAGGGAAGCAGATCATGAATTCAGAAAAAAGAATAATCCAAACTATTAACTTTCATGCATATGGTATATGTTAATTTCTTAAAAATAAATAAATAAATAAATAAATAAATAAATAAAAATAAAAAAAAATAAAATTTGGATTATGTATATGCAGAATGAATTGTATGAGACTATTATAGAAAATAAAGATGCAATTCTGTAGTTTGCAAAGCATGCCCGGACCCGCACACGCTTGATTTTTACACACTCTCGTGCACAGTGCAAGTGTGCATACATGGCTGTCGCCACATACAGATAATCAAGAGTACACTGTTGCTTGGATTTCAGATAACCATGAAGTTTGTATTTTATATGTACTTTCATTTTATTTTACTTACTTAATGTTTCTTAGATACTAATTATTGTTATTAGTTTTGTTTTGTGGAAGTGGCAACAAAACAACTTAAAGAATCGGCAAATGTGTATGTAGTAAGTAGGATTATTAAAAGAATGTTTTGTTATTTACATGAGCGAAGTTTTATTTAAGATGCAAACTTATTTTCAGCAAAAAATGAATACTTTAGAATACATTTATTAGACTCTAGAGACTGTGATATGCTGGTGGCACAACAGTTTTTTTTTTATGTGTAGCGTAAGTGAACACAGTGTATATTACAAAAAATTATCATTAGAATGCCCATAAATATAAAGCTTAAGTGGATTTCTTAATGATCTAACAATAAATACATATCTACATCATGATAAGCCTCCATATACAGGCTGTGATAGAAGACAGAATCACACCAGACATTTGTGCTCAGAGTTAAGTGTGTCATATGCAATATATATATATATATAAATTGTGGTAAGCTCGCCTAAAAGTTACCAAGAGCTGCTGCTCCAAAAAGTTCAACATGTTTAAAAAATACATATGAAAATCAAACCATAAACATGTAAAACATTAAAAAAACAGAATCAGATAAAAAAGTACTGTATATATATACAGTATATATATATATATATATATATATACAGTACAAAGTCTGTAATCCGGACGTCCATTATCTGGAATGATCTATAATCCAGACCTCAAAGCCACAAACTTACGCATGCGCGTGATGTGTTTACGCATGCGAGTAATGCATTTACGCATATGCGTTTGATGCGCGCATCCGCTATGCATGCGCGTAAAGCCAGTAAAGGGTTTACCCATGCACGCTTCCAATAGTGAAGAAAGTAACAGAGAATGTTATTGAAAACGAAAAAATTTCGATTGATAAGTTAGTCGGTATTCACAACACAGCAATTTAATGACTTGAACAGTGGAAGAACAAGACGTAACTAAAGAAGAAATTACGTCTGTTTATAAAATTAAAGAGAAAGTATTAGCACAAAAAACGAAGCAACTTAAACAACTTATATTGATAGAAATGTTTACTAAATGAACAAATAAATATTAAGCTTTTTTTCTGTAAATTTTGATACCCTTTAGATTATAATTGCTCTTTATTTCATAAATTACAGTTTAATATTTTAAATTGTATAATTTCTGCATGCCATCTTACCAGATTTAAATTGATGATCTATAATCTGGAAAAACCAATAATCCGGAATTGCCGAAGTCCTGACGAGTCCGGATTACGGACTTTGGACTGTATAATATTGAATTAATGAACTGAAATTCATTGAAATCGAAATAAATTTCCTAATACCTACGCAACAGCTGCAAAGTAAGATAATAAAAATTTATTTACTGAAGTAATATTGATTATATTATCTCCTAATATAAAATTAGTAGAATGTATCTAAATGAAGCAACCTAGAAGTATGAAATTTAATCCCAAGAATATTTTTAAAGGAACTTGAATTTAAATCATGAAAAATAAAAATGAAAACTTTTAATATGAAAATTAATAAACCAAGTAATTATCATCACTGATCTGAAATTGGTTGACTTTTCAAGTGGAACAAACCAACCAACATGAGAAAAATCCAATGAGTGTTGCCTCCATGCTTGTAAATAACTTCTGCTACAAGTCGTGACATTGAGAGAAAAATGAAGCAACCCAGAAGTATGAAATTTAATCCCGAGAATAATATTTTTAAAGAAACTTGAATTTAAATCATGAAAAATAAAAATGAAAACTTTTAATATGAAAATTAATAAACCAAGTAATTATAGTCATTGCTCTGAAATTGGTTGACTTTTCAAGTGGAACAAACCAACCAACATGAGAAAAATCAGTAATGAGTGTTGCCTCCATGCTTGTAAATAACTTCTGCTACAAGTCATGACATTGAGAGAAAGAGGCTCTGCATGTGTTGCTGGGGAATGGCAGCCCATACCACATGTAGCCAAAGTTCATCTGGTATACCCCTGGGTGCGGCAAGCTAGGTTAGGCATTTTCCAATCATTGACAAGACATCTTTGATGGGTTATAGATCTGGAGAACTAGCAGGCTAGGGTAACAATACAATATGGTGGGCTAAGAAGAAAGCTTAAACATTCCATGTAACATATGGTCATGCACTGTCCTGCTGAAATGTGGCCACAAGCAAGACCTGAAGGTAAGGAAGGTGAGCAGGCAACAAAAACTCAGAGATGTAGCATTGACAGGTAAGTATACCGACAATGCATATTGGCGGGGGGTGTAGGAATGAAATCCAATACCACTCCACATAATAACACTGGGTGCAGAATCAGTATGACAATGCATAACACAACAGTAGAACAGCCTCTCTCTCCACTGTGTCTCCAAACTCTAATCTGACCACTGTGGTAATGTAGGCAGAAACATGATTCACTTGAAAATAATCATTCCATTCAGATGTCCATCTTTGCCATTCAGTGCACCAAATGCCTGTGATCTAAAGTCATAGGTAAGTAAAGCAACGGACACCTAGCGAATAATCTGTTATACAGTAACAATGTAGAATTATTTGCCGAGACATCAACTGTTGTGTAAAAACTGTATTCATTGTGATATGGTTGCAGATGTGACAATGCATGGTGCCATGTGCACAATATGTCTCTCTTCCTAAGGAATAGTGAGATGAGGCAACCGTCTCTCCTATCAGTCGTTCCCTCCCATTTCGTATTTGCATGACTGTTGCTTGGCTATGTCTGACACGATGACCGATTTTCTGGAATTTTTCCTCCTTTTATATGTGAATCATAAGGGATGCTGTATTGCACATGTGCTGATATTGTAATCATCTGCATATTTCATTGTGATATACACATGATGCACATCTCACACTTTTGGATGGCCAGCAGTTTATTAAGAAACAGCAAATTTACAATATTAACTGCTACAATTTGAGAACTGCACACCACCTTGCCACTTAATGAAATACAAATAATAATAAGTATTTATAACATATTTACACTGAAAATTTAAAAAAAAAAAAAAAATGCTGCTACATGTGGAAAAGTCGAGAGTTGCATTTACGCAAGGTGAGCAGAATAAGAATACGAATGTTTAGTCAGTATGATTGTACTTGTGTGAAGTTTTCTTTGAGTGGAGCACTGTAATACTTTCTAGCAGCATAACGTTTTGTTATAACTTCACAAAACACTTCGTTTTTTAATTAATTTAATATTAAAATTTACATTGTATTTCTTTTACAAATGCAGATTTTTTTCAATTGAAAGACTCAAGTATGAAAAGCTTTACCCACAATCATGACATAAAGTTACATTACATACTTCGCAACTATAAACAGTCTGGTTGTGGTGTTCCTTTTTAATGAAATCTTCTGTTATCCTCAGACTTTACGATAAAACATCTACCATCTCCAAGCAATGGCTTTTGAATGCTGAATTTACTAGGCCTTCCTGTTGCTGATCTATTACTGGCTAATTCTATACTCTCAATAGGAGTTTGCAAAAGGAATAATGCAATCTAATAGAAAGTTGCAATATTTTCCATGCATTTGTCAAGGATACATCAATGTAATTAGTAAATATTGGCCAACACAATTTTTTTCCATGAACCCTTATTTTGGTGCTGGTTACTAAAATGTCACATAAATTGGCCTCTCCAATTTTTGGCATTGTATTGTTCAATATGTTGAGGCTAAGATACAAAAACCATTTTCCTTTGTATTCTTGAATAACGGGAAATTTTCTAATGTACGGTACCTCAATGTACGCATTTTCAAAGCATAGATTGAATATCACCCAGGGCATCTAAAGGCATGAGTAAAAAAGGAGGTTACTCTTATTCCGCTAGCCACTGCACCAACGCAACACCTATTTTCCCTTCCATCCCGACATAAATACAAATAGCTGATTGAAGTATTATGGTAAGCGGTGACCTTGGTTAAAAATAGATCACCCCTAAAGACAGCAATTCTTTCGCTAAATTTTTTCAGCAAAAATACTTGGTCAAAAATTTTGCTTTAAGTATGAGACTCATTATTATACGCAAAATTATTGTTGATGACAAATACTTTTTTACAGAATATTTATATACATATTTTTATACACAATTATTTCAACCGTTAAATCAATGCAAGCTTACCTTTAGTACTTCACTCAAGGAGAGAAAATGCTATTTTATGTATTAAAGTTTATATGCATATAAAGATATAGAGCTATTACTTTCAGATCTCCATAAAACATGCCATGAATATAATTGTACTTTATTCTGTCAAGTTAAAAATCTTATAATTATGTGCATGGCACAAAGAAGTGCCACTAAAGGACAGCCATTTCTGAAATAAAGTAGTGACTTTTGCCAAGAAGCCTATAAGATCTTTATCTTCTAGGACTGGGATAACATTTAAAAATTTAAAAAATCTATATATAAAATCATCCTTATGGAGTAAAAAGCGAGTTAAAATTAAACAAGAGGATGGATTTGCGATAAATTTAATTTTACTAACAACTAGCCACTTAATAATTATAATAAAAAAAGAAAAATATATAGTGATTTCAATAAGTCTAGCTAGTTTAATTTCACACGTCTACCCAATAATTGATAACTATAGAGATATAAAGAACTGCATTTATTACTTTTATATTGCTTTGTCAAGCAATAACAAACAGATTCAATCCGAAAGAAAAATTAAATCTCTTCTGCTTTTCAAAATGGCAATACATTGGTACATGAAAGATAGAAATATTTAACTTTGGGTAGAGGCGATGTATTTCTTTTACATCACTGAATATGTTGATTAAATTGGAAATACCTTGCACTTTGCTAAGTGACTATACATTTTCTTTTAAATAGTCGAGTTTGTAATTAAATTTAAAAGACAAATATTTTAAGCTAGGGCTAGTGACAATGCATTTCTTTTAAATTGCAGAGTTTTCTGATTAAATTTAAAATATAAATTACTTATACTTTGCCGAGTGTCAACAAACTGCTTTTAAATTGTTGGGTTTGTGAATCAAAATGTCACTAAACTTGTGCATTAAGAAAATAATTTAAAATAAATAAATAAATAAAATTTAAAAAAAATGTGGGCTTTGAGGTGCATAGATTTAGGTGCAGTACTAGAAGTGCTCAAATTTTGCCATGTTTAGGAATATACACACATACATACAGATACTTTATTATTTAATAATAGAAATGAATTAGATGATTAAATTTATTGGAAACAGTTAATACTGACAATGAAAGATACATCCAAATTGAGCACAACACAGAACAACATCAATAGAATTAAGAATTAAAAAAAGAATAAGAAACTTGCTTCAGAAATTCTGACTTCATAAAGAAATCAGCATCATAAAATGTACTTGAATTACTGAAAGCTTTTTTCCTGCAACATTGATCAGCGCTATTTCTTATTTTAAACCAGTCATTTAAAACACAAATATTCAATTTCTTATAATTTCTGCATTCCTTTTTACATTAAAATCAGTTAACAGAGAAGCTTTTAGGTACCAGTCTCTTCTCATATTTTATATAAAAACAACATCAAATTAACTTACTTTACTCTGCTTTCAAAAAATGTTTAAGTTCTTTTTTTAAAGTTCCCGAATTTTTCATATTTTACTTCTACATGACAATGTCCTGGATCATTCAGCATAAAGTTCTTGTCTTGATGTTGTACTTCATTTTATGGGGCAAAAACAGATATCATAAAAATATTACAACAGCTCTTACACTCGCAGGATTTCCCTTCTCTTGACTATTTTCTATTCCCAAAACAAAACTGATTTTCAAGATTCTAAACCGACTTTATTAGCAATACAATGTCTGAAAGCTGTGATTAAACATTTGAAACAAGTCCTTTTTGAGAGCATCATGCACGTATTAGAAACATCTATCAAGAATAATAGTGAATCACAATTTTTATGGGAGGAGGGGGAGGAAGAGATTCAATAAATGCATTAATACATACATTATTTTGCATTTTTTACAGCTTAATCATGGAACTTCAGGACAGCATTATCTTGTAAATATTATTATGATTATCTTTGTACACATTATCACAGGTAGCAAGCTTAGGGTTTGAATTTTTTAGATACAGTTAGCAAAATACTAAATTTTTTATAAGAGAGTTTTTAATTAAAGAAAAAAATGTTTCAATAACCATTTAGAGGTGGGATACAATACCTTTCTTAAAGTTATTATTAAAAAGATTAAATATTATCGTTTCTAAATTTGACTTTCAACGCAAAAGATTACAGATAGCTAAACTTACATGGCTGATTGACTTCTGTGGCACTCAACATCCTCAACTCTGGGCTCAGGACTAGGGCCTCGAAATGGAAAATGAGGCTCTGCTTCTTCTTCTTCTTCAATGGTAACCGGTTCTTGTATTACTGAACACTTTTCTGACTCAGGCTGCCGTTCAGATGAAACATGCATTTGATTTTGAGGTAATGTGACCTGTGAAGGAAGATTTGCCACATAAGTTGTAGGTGGTAAATGTTGTGAAGGTGTAGGCAAACCAGACTGTGGATGCAACTGTGGCAAAGGGTGCGGCCGAGGCAAATGATGAGGATGATTGCTTGCTTTCAAAGATGCTTGCTGACCAATCCCTATTTGAGAATACAGAGAATTTTGATGTGCTGGCTGTGGCACTGGCTTTTGATTTGGAGCACTTGGTGTACCTTGGCTTTGTAAGGAATATGATGATGGAGATTTTGAAGACCCATGTGAAGAAGACTGAAGAGGCACTGATGAATGTGATGACACAGGTGGAGATTGCCGAGATACTGAACTTGGCTGAGAGTTACGGGGGAATGTTGATGGAGTGTCACTACTATGCGTATGTGACTTACTTGGAGGAGGTGATTCTTGGTACTGCTGTGGATTTGTTGTATATGGCGATGAAGTTGGTGGAGGTGTATGAGTGTTATTGGGAGAATGGGAAGGAGTAGTAGAATACTTATGTTTTATTGGCTGAGGTGGCATTTGAGGAAATGGAGGTAAAGCAGGAGGATAGGGATATTGAGGTGAGAAAGGTCGATAATTAAATGCTGACATAGATGATTGTGAGGTAGCTATAAGAGTCGAATGTCCAGGATAAGGCATTTTAGAATGGTTATGATAAGAAAGTGAAATTGATGATGATGCTGATATGGAACCTGTCACAGTACTATTTGTCATTGCTATTGATATGCTATTAGAGAAAAGAGCTGTAGATGAAGCAGGAGCATAAGCGTGAGGATGATGCACAGGTTCATGAACTAATGACGGAGGAGGTGAAGCTGCAATATCAACAGGTTCCATTTTTATATTTTGAGGAGAAGGACCAGGATACTGATGTGGATTTGGTATAATGGCTTCTTCGGGCTGTTCTACACTTGGCGACTGGTATCTAGTTGGTTCTGTGACAACTGGAGAAGAAGGCTCTTCTGGAGCTGGGGCAGATTCCTCTAATGATGGCCCATAGTTGACTGGTGAAGCAACTGGTGATGGTGTATATGATGCTGCAGTTACTTCTTCTTTAACTTTTTCTATGAGTTCCAGTTGCTCAGGTGGATTTTCAGACTCATTATTCTCTGGTGTTTCTTCTACTTCATTTGTAATTATTTCTTGTTTTATTTCTACTGGGCACAAAGCCGGTTCTGGAGTGACTGGTGGTACAAATTCTTCTTTAACAGTAACGGGTAACTCAGTATCTGCTGTGGTGGCAGCTGCTTCAAAAGGTCTGACAAAAAAAAAAAAAAAAAAAGAGCTTTTAAAAGTTAAATCACAGAACGAATTTAATAATTATACCAAAAGGATAATCATGATTTCATAAAAAAGAAAACTACACTCCAAGTAATATTATTAAGAATAAACATTCTTTCCCAGCAAAAGTACTATTTTGTTAAATAATTATCATAAGAAACTCATTTCTTTTAATTAAATTGTAAATGATTTAACTCTAATAACCAGCACACTAGTAATAATTAGAAAGTATATCAGAATGTCAATAAATATATTTTACATACACTTCTGGTTCTGTCTCATTTGCAGCTGGAAGCTGAGGTAATAATGGAGCAGGACTTGGAACAGGACTAACAGCAGGGCTTGGTGAACTAGGAGCTTCTACATCTGGAACTGCTTCTTCATTTGAAACACTGCTTTCTGTGCATACAGATTCAGAAGGACTCTCTGATCTATTTTTCTTTTTTAAGTTTCCAACCTTCTCCTCTTCTTCATCTTCTACAGCATTTTTTTCTTCTTTAACCCTCTTTTTATTTTTTGAAGAATCTTGTGGTTGCTTCTGAAACAAAGTCAACACCACTCTTATTTTAAAATTTCTAACAAGGAAAAGTTTTGATGAACTCATTTTAGCATTACTAAAAATCAACTTATATTTTTACTGAATTAAGCTGCTTTTTTATAACATCTTTGAAAAATTGTCCAACAATCTATTAAACTAGGAATTGGTAAATTAATAACAAAAACGCTGTCTTTCGAAATCAGGGGAAAAAATTATAAACATTTTAAGCAACACTGCATAAAATACTGGATGTATATAATACTGAAACAACTTCTAAAAATTAAAAGAAAAGGTTTTCCTTAACTACCTATATAAGACATTTCTGAAATGCTCAGAGCTCTTCACATTAATTATTCTTGTCTTCTTTAAAAGGAAAAATATTTATTTGCATCACATTTAATAGAGCGTTATAAGCAATATTTAACAATTTACGATCAGAATTAATGCGAATTAATGAACTACCTCTAATTGAATAGGAACATTAGATATTCCATCCAAGATCTGATTTAATTCACATAATTGTTTACATGAACATTAAAACAAAATGCTTCAGCATAAGTAGGATATACAAGACATGTTATATATATATATACAGTCAAAAGTCGTTAATTCGGACACCCATAATCCGGAATGATCTATAATCCGGACCTCAAAGCTACAAACTTTCTGCGCATGCGTCGCGTTCACGCATGCGCACAGGCGTTTACGAGAGCGCATAAGACTCTTACAGCTGCGAATATGTTTGTGCGCATACGCGTTTAATGTGTAACGGAGTTATACGCTAAGCTAAAGCTATCTAATTCAGTTAATGTTGCAGATTGCGTTGTTCCTTAATCTTCGAATTGGATCCGGCTTATTATTTTTTGCAGACTGTTAGAGCAATTTATAAAAGTAAGCTTGAACTTTCGATTATGTCAAATAGAATTTCGGATATATATTTACTACAAAGCGAAAGTATGTTTTGAAATCCGAAATCGTTTATCAATTTCACGCTGCTCTGTGGCAGAGGGGGGGCAGAAACGTCATTATTAGATTATGATAACTTAGAAGATTATGTCAAATAGAATTTCTGATATATATTTACTAATATGTAATTTGTATCTACAAAGCGAAAAGTATGTTTTGAAATCCGAAATCTGTTTATCAATTTCACGCTGCGGATTGGTTGATCTGTCAGCACTATCCTTATCTTCAGAGCAGATGTTTTTATTTTATTTGGTTTATAATTCCATACTAAGTGTAGTATTTCATCTCGATATACTCTGCCTTTGATATGATTTAAATCAAGTTCCTCGTCATTATAATTCGCTTCCGATAGTGAAGAAAGTGACCCAGAGGTTATTGAAAACAAAAATATTTCGATTGACAAATTAGTCGGTATTCTCAACACAGCAATTATAGGACTTGAACAGCGGAACTTTGTAACTAAACAAGAAATTATGTCTGTTTAATAGAATTTAAAGAGAAAGTATTATCACATGAAATGAAGCAAACTTACATTGAAGGAAATGTTTAATAAAGTAAACAAATAAATATTAAGCTTTTTCTTTTTGTAAATTTTGATACCCTTTAGATCATAATTGTTCTTTATTTCATAAATTACGGTTTCATATTTTTAATTTTGTAATTTCTGCATGCCATCTTACCAGATTTAAACTGATGATCTATAATCCGGAAAAATCGATAATCCGGAATCGCCGAAGTCCCGACGAGTCCGGATTAACGACTTTTGACTGTATATATTAAATACAGCTGATAAGTCTTATCCAACAAAAAGATAAGGATCTGTAATACGCTAAACAGTGCGCCAAATCCCAGTAACAGTGTGCAATAAATTCAACTTGTTTGGGTGCCATGGATCACAAATAACACATTAACATGAAATTTTATTTCATACTTCAAAAATGCACTAAAAACGAAATGTTAATGTAAAATGCACTAAAAACAAAATGGCTATAAATTGACTAAAGACGAGGAAAGAGCGAGATGGCTTTCACAACAAAAAACGAAGATAAACTGAGAAAGTATTTTTTAAAAAACAAGACTCAAACAGGATCTAAATGAGTAAGAAATTTTTTCGCATATTTTTCTGTCAAACAAAAGCTGCAGTGTTTGTCAGTTTCGTAAGAGATGCATGTTTGTGATACTTTAAATACCAGTTTTTTAAAAATGATGAAACTTGGATATATATGGTTATGATCCTGAAACCAAGGTTTAAAACTTCACAAGGAAACCATCTAGTTTTCCTTACGAACAGCGCCCACCAAAAAATTAATCTCAAAGTTATCTTGATTATTTTCTGAAAGCAAACAGCATTTCTCAGAATATAAATGAACATCAATATTAAATTTCATCTATCTAAATTGACTAACTTGACAAAAGACCAGTATCCCATGAAACTGTGGCAATTTTCGTAAAGAAGTTTCATTAATTTAATTTCCAATTAATAACTTCAAATTTCATCACAGTTTTTAAAAAGCTGGTGCTGGCAAATTACACAAGTAAGATAAGAACTTTTCCACTTTCCTTAATCACTAATTACTATAAGGAATTAGGAATTTTTATGTAAATTTTAATTTCAGAAAACTATTCAGAAATGCTCTATATGGAAAACAGCTGACTTTGAAAGTTGATAAAAAGTGGTAAACATGACAAGTCTTCAATTTACATTTCTTTCATTTTAATTAAGTAAATATTAAACAATCTCAGCCAACCACAGTTATTCTCTTAAAAGACTACAAATGAATAATTTAAACCTCAAGTAAGTCAAAAGCACATATTTCATGTTGAACATATATCTTTAAATATTTAAGAAATTACACTTTTATGAAAACATCTACTGTAATTTTAATTACAAAAATAACTCTCAAACTTCAAGTATGATTTTTTAAAACATTTTAAAGGGAAAAAAAAAATCAAAGTATTTTCACAACTGTCAGTATGCTACATTAAAAATATTGAGAAGACAAATTCATACTTTTTTTTTATCACGGTCTAAACTACCAGTGCTACAATTGCTTGCTGCCCCAGGAGATTTTCTCCCTGCTTTTGTAACCGCTGCCCCAGCTTCATTACTGATTGTCTTAGGGCTTTGACGCTAAAATATGCAGCGACAGTACATTAATTTTACATTTAAAACATACAAAATATTAAAATTATGAAATTTTAATAGCTCAGCAGAGCAAAATAAGAATAAAAGTGTCAGTTTTTTTAAAAAAAATAAATGTAAGAAAACAGCTTACATTATGCTTTATAACAGGTACATAGACAATTATTAAAGCAGCTTTATGGAGTTTAAAGAAGTTAACTTTGGCGATACATGACAAAGATACTAAAACAAATGCTTTAATTTTTATGAAATAAAAAAATATTCTCACCTCTTTACTTCTTCTAGTTCTCATTACATGTTTCCCATTAACACCATCCTCTTCCTTTACAGGTTGGAAAAGAAATGGTAAATTATCCTTAGAATCAACTGGACGAAATTCTCCATGTTTTTTATAATATAGTCTGCATTCAGTGCACATAACTTGCAAATCTTTACCTACAGGAAGCCAGTCTTTTGAAGCTAATTAAAATAAATAAATAAATAAGAATTTATTTGAAACTACTAAAAAAGAGCAATATGATTATGAAAGGTGCACAAGTAGAATTGGCATAAAAACATTACACTACACATATTCACCCATGTTTTTTGCATATTTTTATGTTAATAAGGTGAAACTTAGTGCCAACATGAAATCTATTTGGATGACATAAATCCTAATAAATCACAAAACTTCATGAAAAGAGTCACTATTTTATTGGATCCAGAATAAATACAAAAATATAAAATAGATTAAATATGGATATTTCTCCGATTTTCATTTATGCAGCAACAAATTGCTGTATACCTGGGACACCTCATACACATGGTAATCTGTTTCTGCTTAAAAATTAGATAACTGCACAAATTTGGCACTGTGCACACTGAAGAGTAAGCTATCACATTTGTCAACTGGCAACCTAAACACGCTAAGGTTGCCACAAAGAGCAATTCAGATAATAAGGAAGCATTGGTGGATTCAGAATTTGATAAAGAGGCTACAGTTGGCAGGGTGGAGGGAAAAGAAAGGTCAAGTTGAAAACGGGGTGAGGAGTAACAATTCCATTTCGGATATAACTCAGATCATTGACCAGGATCTCATTCCTTAAGATTTCTTGAAGTCTGAGTTACAGTAAAACCAGATATATTCTGGCAAAACTGCAACAGTACACATGGCCAAGAAAACTTAATAGTAACTCGATGATAAATTTTTCCCATGTTTCTCCTGATATGCACCTTTAAATTCACCTATTATCCTCATCACAATTATATATAGAGGCAGTCGCAAGGATAACTAATAAAACTGCCTATAAAAATATAGATGAAGAAGAAAACCTGGCATGCAATTCAAAATTTGACTCGAGGTTATAGAATGTGACTGCTCTAACTCCTGCAATTGTCTGGAGGCTATGACTGATGCTGAGTGTGACTGAATAAAGAATAAATTCAATCTATAAGGCATTACTTTCCCATGTTTCTCCTGATATGTAGCCTTTAAATTCACCTATTATCCTCATCACAATTATATATAGAGGCAGTCGCAAGGATAACTAATAAAACTGCCTATAAAAATATAGATGAAGAAGAAAACCTGGCATGCAATTCAAAATTTGACTCGAGGTTATAGAATGTGAGTGCTCTAACTCCTGCAACTGTCTGAAGGCTATGACTGATGCTGAGTGTGACTGAATAAAGAATAAATTCAATCTATAAGGCATTACTTTGTTGTTGTTTCTGGAATTTTCAATAAATGCTTAGAGATTTTACAGATGATTTTCCACACCACTTCTACTTGCATATTCTGCAGTTTATAAATGTTTGATAAAAGGAATTACTTTTGAACATTAAGCCCAGTTCTTTAATGCTGAAAAATTCCAAACTATACCATAGATCGATAAGAATACTGTTTTGATATACTCAGATTATATCATCATATAAAACATGGTTAGCCCTCCCACTCTCAAAAAAGGTAAGACATTCCATAAATGGATTGGATTATTTATTACAAATACCACAACAGACGCAGCAGATTTTAAAAAAGTAATTATTTTTATTTATTCTAACAACTAATGAAATAAATGAAACAAAACAGTTAGTTAATAATGGCTGACAGTTAACAGCTATATTGGTAACTAAAAAAACACAAAAGATTGAATTATCATAGCAATTTCTTTTAATCACAAGTCCGGAATTCAAAATTAAAGCAATTAAAGATAGTCTCCATCACAGATTCGTCATGGTGTATATACAGATGAATAGGATTCACCAGGAACTGAAAGTAGAACTACTAAGAACTTGTTATTATTGGCTTGCTAACAACTTTTATAAAAATCAAAAACTAATCATTGGCCCTGCTGTCAAAATCTGTCACTATGATGTTTTAATACCCTCTGAACTGTAACAGACCTATGTCAGTTCTCAACATGAATAATGATTAATAACTGGTTATGAACTTGTCTGCTTTCTATGTATGATTCTGCTATAATATGTAAGTTCAATTCTCATCACATTCATGTATGTTTACTTTTTCTCCAATTAATTAGATTTTATTTTGCAAACTCACCTATACCCTGATTTATTGCATGTCTTGTTTTTCCTATCACATTACTTAAAAGCATTCGCATTTTGCCTATTGCTTATTATTATGTGTTTTCAGCAACTACATCAGTTCGAAGGCTTTCTCGATTAACAGCTTTTATTACTCTACTAATTCCAAAAATTAATATACAATTTGCTTATTATTTTTGCTAACTTAGCCATGTGTGGGGAGGGGAGTATTTCTTTCTGAATTTAGTTAATGTTTTGAAGTAAGTTATTTAGTTAATGTTTCTGAATTTAGTTAATCTCGTTTGTTTTTGGTATTGATTTGGTAAGTCTAACTTTATTTGATTAGGGGTAAGGTCTAGCCACCTAGGCCCCTGGTGTGTACACCATTCCACAGAGGAGTTAGCCAATATAAAAGATTTGCTTCAGATCTCACAATATATCTCTTCAGAAGAATTTCGTGAAACATTTAATTACAACAGTAGAAGAAGCTAATGTCAATAAAGTTTTTTAAATTCATGGGCAGGGAAGAGACAAAATTTACTGTGTTTTAAACCCCATACACTGTCAAAATTTTTATTAATTTATAATTTATTTTTTGAAAGAGAGAATTATTGATAAGAGCACTGGAGATATTTGAAAAGAATAAAAATGACTACTAAATTTATTTGATTTCCATAAGAAGGGTAACAGATATCATAAGGTGTAACAGAAATCAAATTAGTAAAATGTTTGTGTCTGCACAAGGAAAACATAACTTGCTTCACACCAAATATAACTTTTGATTCATAACGTGAATAACATGTTCTCTACCAGAAATTAATTGGAATCAAAATCTAAAGAATATCTGAGGTGGCTCCAGAATCCTGAATTACTAAAGTCACAGTTTAGGCATCTCGAAACACTCTCAGAAGTATATAACGCAAGATTTTATAAAGCCCATCCCCCACCCATAGAGACAAACATTAGTTAAAGCATGTTAAATTTTCTACTGAAGATTCCTTTCCTTTAAACTTTTTAAAAGTTTTCAGCATTGAAATTTTAATTCAACCATCAATATGCACTGCTGATTGATCATAATACAGTCACATATAATCTCAATACAGTCACACTCAAAGATGGTGCCTTAAATTGCATAAATTATTCATATGGAGCAGCTGTATGGGTTGACATCTTCATTCAAATGAAAACTGGTCTTTGTCTCTCAAAAGCACATTTTGGCTTTTGAGCAATTCTTAACAAGGCTGACATAACAAATATAAGCTTTGTAAAATCCACCAGTAAAATTCGTAAAATGATTACAGTTTGCAAAGATGAAAATTTAGACACTGCAAGCGATACATTCTACAAAGGATGGAAGAATGCTGAACAATTTTGCTGCTTCACAAACATTGTCACTTTTAGCATTCATTTTTCAGAACTGCATCAAATAAAAACTTGTAAAAACACTACAGTCTAGCCTTTTTCCTCAAAGTCTAATTTTCAAACAGCCAGTACTCCCAAATTTAAACAATTCCAAGAAATAAGTCAAACATCCTGAAAATTCTTGAAAGATTCTAACATCCCAAAAGCTTACATTCTAATTGTTATTCAAATGAAGATTTTTTCAGCATTGTGTTGCAATCATTCCTTTTTTAAATATTTTGAAAGTATTCGATTAAAAGGCTATAGATAATATTAAGCGGGTTTAACTTTCAAAGAAAAAAAAAAAAAAAAAAGAAAAGAAAAGAGAAACTTAATTAAGATAACTGACATTTCTCTACATCACTCATAAACATTCTGATGGCTTTAAATAATTTGTTTAAATTTTTTCAGTATCCTTTACTTCAGCATCCGATGCTCAGAAAAAATTCAGAGTACATAATTAGATAATGTATAATAAAACACTGCTGAACATGTACAATCAATTTTTTTTTAATTAAAAGAAAAAATCTTATGTGAACACCATGACTTCCGTGTACGGCCTATTAAATTATACACATTTTTTGCTGCACTTTAACTGCACTGCACTAATTATTTTAACATAATTAACCAATCTTTCAAGGTTAGTTGAAAATGATATACAAAATTGCAAAATTTGAGATTAAACATCCCGAACAAGTTTCGTCATACGGGAGTGAAACTTCCTATATTTTTATTTTATCACACAAAGTATAAAACTTTTCCAAATTGGAAGACCATATTAAAATTGGCAAAAAATTCTCTCGCAGCCGCCAGTTTGTCCAATTTTTTCCGAGCTTTACGATTGGTCACATTGTCTAACATTAGACACCTGAGAAGAAAATTAAATCCTTTATATGACACTGTGTTCCATAAAATTTCAATGACTGATCCATCAGTAGCCCACAAATATTGCGTATTTATATGTGATGATTTATGCAAGCCGCACAGATATAAAAGCCCAAAAAGTGCTCAAATTTCCACATCATTTGTCGTTTTGGCATCCCGATCTCTGGTGTAATTTACCGATATTTTTTCAATACAAATATTTGTACACTCTGCAATGGATTGCATCATTTTAGCATTGGAAAACAATTCCCAACTTTCTAGAGACTCTGTTATATTGCGTGCAGTTCCTCTTAATACTGGTAAATGAGTTATTCTATTTTTAGAAGATGTTTTCCCTTTTTAATTTGGTTTTCCTTTCTGCCAAACTCTTATTGCTGCTAATAAAAATTATTTTTACTAAATCACGATTACTGTCGTCTTCATCATTCTGCTCAAATTCACTTCACTATTGTGAGAACTGTATATTTCTTCATCAGATTCATTTTCACTATCTTGATCAATTTCCTTTTCAGAATACTCAACTTCATCTAATAGAGTTTTCAAACATTCCATCTCTTTTTCATATTCAGTAAATTTACGTTTGTAAGCTATTATCTATCAAATAATCCAACAGATCAACAATGGAAACACACAAGAGCATGAAGCTAAGCTGCTATTAATGAAAACTTTCGAAGCAGTAATGGTCGCACGGGGTGACCGAGTCACCCCATTCCATCATGGATTTCAAGAAACGATTGCTTCTCTTGCAGAAAAGAAAAACAAGCAAAAATAACAATACACATTCCAAGGGGAGTGTCAAACACGATGATACTAGAAGGATGATTAATTAAAATGAAATTTTTGACGCATGGGGTGACTGTGCTACGCGTGACTTCTCACGGGTTAAGAAATTGTGTAAATTAAGAGGGAAAAAAAATTACATTTCCTCCCAAAAATAATGTACTTCTACAACCTTGCAGTTATAGCAGCAAAAATACAAAATAAAACAGAAACTTACTAGTTGTACAACAATTCTGACACTGATATCCAGTGACATCTCTCGAATCAGAATCTTCGGAGTCTTCTCCTTCATCACTACCTGAACTACCATCCACTACGATATAAACACATAATTAGTAAAAAGTAGAAATTTTTAAAATATTCAAGAATATGGAGACATGGGAATTCAATAAAAATATTTTAAACTTACAAATACAATAAAACTAGTCTTATAAAATAAAAAATACATTTGTATTAAAAAGAGGAAGTTTATCTCCTGTAAAAACAAATATTCCCTCTTAATAAGGTAGTGTTTGTAATTGCTGCAAAATCTGTAATAATGAACTGCAATCAATGTTTATTTCAACAAACAACAAATCCAGATTACCAATGGCAGATCTACTGAATTTATGGACATTTTTTTAAAATACTGAATTGTTATAATCACAGCTTTGTCATTAAAAAAAAAAAAAAAACAACACTAAAAATCTTTTAAGAAAACAGTGTGGTTAAATTCAATTTTCTTTGAAAATCTAATCAAATGAGCAGAAAGCAGTGATTTAGATGAACTCAGTATACAACACAGACTGTATTTGCTTACAAGTAAGCTATTAACTTTTTTCGTATCATAGGAGTTTCATTTTGGCATAACACTGTTCAACTCTGGAATGAAAAACGTATGAAAAGTGAAATCCTCATCTCCGACTGAAGCGATATTGAGAGTTTATAGATGACCATTATTGTATAAAATACGGCACTTGGCTGCCATCTTATGAAAGAACTGGTTACTAGATGACATCATTAAAAATAATATGAGGTCTTCTAAGTGCCAAGATTGAATTGCATTTGGCAAGGAAGTAAACCTCCTAACAAACTGAAGCATCAAATTTCTTGTACAATTTAAAAAGTACATCCCGGATCTAGTGAATTCATATCTATTCATACATTATCCAATGCAAATTATGCATTAACCACAGAGTGGCATGGCTACCCTTTATTTGGTCATGAGACTGTGTCTATGTTACCTTATTTTTTAAATTATTTTGCTTTCTTACTATCTTAAATGATCTAAATATCATCTTAATGAATGAAAATCTAGGAAAGCCAAGTCTAAAAGAACTAATTCCAAAAATTTAGATAATATTGTTTAAATACAGTTCTTCACAAGCAGATGCTAAACAAGCCATGCCACTCAGATGGTTTTAATTGACTTGCTCAACAGATCATATCACCTACACACTGCATGTATGTGAATACTTTGTGACAACAATATCTGCATTAACATACTTTGTGTTGCTACACCATTCAGAAAGGTCATTATGTCAAAATTCTGTTGACATAATGACTTATAAAAATATCGAACTGCTGGCAGGCTGATGAAACAACTATTAACTACCACTGTCAGTTAAACTGCCATTTAAAGAAAATAAATCAATTCAGACAATGGCAGCACAAAAGAAAATTCTGAAATTCAATATTTACTCTAAATTAAGTATTGGTAGGCAAAACCTAGAAATGCAACCTGGTTCTGATTTCAAATACACATCCCTACTCTTAATGAAGTTTAGAATTTAAGAAAAATTTTCCATCCATCAAGTACGTTAAATACTATCCTAAATGCATTCAAAAATAGGTAATCTTATGGCAGCATTTGGAAATTAAATTTATACACATCAAAAATCACATATACTGATTTAAGTTCTTCCGACTTTAAAAAAAAAAAAAAAAAAAAAAACTGAAAGGAGTAAGATTTTAATCAGAACTTAAAGAGTTCTTTTAAAGTTTAATGTGGTTTATCTGGATAAATTATCAATATTGATGGCTCAGATGGAACAGCTAAACATTTTACATAATACTTGATGAATATATTAGGTGTACAAAAAAGTTTTGACAGTTTTGAGGGATGGCGTTACTAGTATTAAAATCCTATCGGACAATCTTGTAACATTCATGTTAAAGCCCTAGCATTTCTGTCTAAAAATCAGTCTGTTTCATTTCGCTGAAGTGTAAACAACAAACTTTCTTTGCACTCAACCCATGTACCAACAAAACAAAATTTGCAGGAAATGCTTCTTTTTTGTTTTAATCTGAAGAAAAGTGCAGCTGATGGACATTGACTACTCTGTGAAGCATATGGGAAACATGTTCCATCAATAAAAACATGTGACAGTGAAGTTTCAAGACACTGAGTTGGAAGGGTTATTGGACCAAGATTCATGCTAAATTCCAGAGGAACTCGCGAAAACCTTGGTAGTGACTCAACAGGCGATTTCAAAGCATCTCAAGGCCATGGGTATGGTGCAAAATGGTGGGTTCCATATGAACTCAAGCCAAGAGACGTCGAATGACATTTTTTCACATGCGAACAACTGCTATAAAGGCAAATTCAGAAAGAGTTTTTACATCGTGACAGGGAAACAAAAAATGAAGCTATTATGACAACCCAAAGTGCAGAAAATCGTGGGGTAAGCACAGCCATGCATCAAAACTTCAATGGCCAAACCGAATATTCATAGCAAGAAGCTATGAATGAATATGTGCATCTATTATGATCAGCTCTGAGTATTCGGCTATGAGCTACTGATGTTTTACCAAACCATCACTGAGGAACGTTACAAACAGTTGATGCATTGAAGCTCAAATGCCCCCAACACACCAAAAGGCATGACCTTTCAGCACGACAATGTTCGCCCGCATGTTGCAAAAGTCATCAAGAAAACTTTGGAGGTGCTTCAATGGGATGTCCTACCCCACCCGCTGTATTTACCTTCGCTCCTTCCGACTTCCACTTGTTCCGGTAGATGACTCATGATTTCACTTTGCAAAGACAAAAATTGGGTCAATTCTTGGATCACCTCAAAAGATGAAGAATATTTTTAAATGCGGTATCCGTACGCTAGCTGAAAGATGGGGAAAAGTCATAGCTAACTATGGACAATACTTTGAATAAAATACATTTCTCTGAATAAAGCTTAAAAGTTTGAAAAAAAAAAACAAAAAAACACTCAAAACTTATTTGTACACCCGATACACTGGTTATCAAAATTAAAGGATAATGAGAAAAAATATGCTCACTAAGTTAACATTGCAAACAATGTCCAATGCTATAATTATTTATGTTAATTAAATACAAATTAACACAAAATTGGACTTTGGCGAATAGTTTAGCCTCAGTAAATTGCAAATTCGGCGACTGACAATGTAGTGCACAATGGGGACATGTTGGAACTCCCTGTAGAGTTGTTTAAACGGAACATTGTTTCTAAGAGTGATCAATATTCGGTAGTTATGGCTCAAAGGCATCATTTAAGTGAAGGTCAAAAGTGGTAAATATTTGGTAGAATCAAGGGAAGTCAAACACAAATGGAGGTGGTCCAAGATTTGAATATTCTTCAAAGTGTTTCAAGAGTTTGGAGCCACTTTTTAGAGTTTAGTTTCAAGAGTTTGGAGCATTGGATCAGCCTATCAGCTGATCCAATGCTTGGTCAAGAATAACAACTGCATCAGAAGACTGTTTTCTATCATTGTCAGCTCAAGGAAACTGCCAAGCAACTACAAGGGATTTAGTTTTAGACCTTTAGGCTGCCACAGAAACTTTAATTAGCCGTTCTACTGCAGCATAAAGGGTTCAAGGTTGGACTGGATATGAGAAAACCAATGGTTTGTATCCCACTCACTCCAGCTTACAGAACGTCTTGCTTAAACTGGTGCTGTTGTCATGTTCAAAGGAACCAAGATGACTCGGCCCAAGTACTGTTTACTAACGAGTCCAGGTATAGTCTGATTAGTGATTCTAGATGCGTTTTGATATGGAGAGGAAGGAACATGCAACTTGCCCGTCAGTTTAACAGTTTGGGGATTAATCATGACAAATAGCCACACCAAGCTGCATATCTTCCAAGGAGATTTTGTGACCACTCGAAGATATGTGGGATGAGGTATTGGAACCCCAAGTTAGACAGTTTAAGGGTGCTGTTTGTCGAGAGTTTTTGCTAACAGATGACAATACTCGGCCTCATAGAGCATACGCAGTATCGGAATACTTGCAAATGGGAAGTATCACTCGAACAGATCGGCCACATTACTCACCTGAGCTGAAACCGATTGAGCATGTGTGGGATGCCTCATATGGTGCCAAATTCCTCCCAGACCCTTCAGGAACAGAAAGGTACACTTTTAGAAGAGTGACCTGCATTTTTACAAGACCTGACCAATACTTTGCTAAGTCTACGAAATCCAAAATGTAAGGTATGCATATCTGTTCGAGGTGACCAAACACCATATTACAGAAAACGTTTTCCCACAAAAGAATACTTAATCTGCCTATCACTTTCCAATTTCCATAAATTTGGTTTTAATTTCAATATTTTGTGACCGAATACACTTGAATTTTGCGACTAACCAAATGCCAAACACTTTTTTTTAACTAATGCTTGTGTACAAATTTCCATTAATAATTTTTCACAAGTATCAGTTATGTTTATTTCTGTCATTATCCTTTAATTTTGATGACCAGTGTACATTTAGCTTGACATGAAAATGTTATGTATCTTGTGTACATTTGAGAAATGAAAAAGTATATAACATAATTCTATATAAATATTTAATGTCTTCAATCAGCTATATTGTAAAATAAAGGCATTTTTATTTAACTGAATCAGATTTAAAAGTTAAAAATAAAATAATATTCTTAAAAACTGCACCTATTTCTTTTAAACAGCTTAGTTTATTAATCAGTAGCAGAGACATTAAATTTGAAAGATAAGTTACATCTTGCCGAGTGGCAACAAACTTTAATTAAAAGTGAAACAATGCAAAGTGAAATGCAAAATCATGAATTAAAAAATGAAACAATCCAATAACAGCCGCTTTGAGTTAAAAATGGGAAAAAAAAAAAATTTTTTTTTTTTTTTTTTTTTTTTGAGAAAATCTTCAGAGAAAATCAGAGAAAATCTTGCTCTTAAATTTACTTAACAGCATTGACGAAACAACCAGGTGCATTAATATTAAACTATCAAACCTTTTAATAACGGAATAATAAAATTTATGAGCATATTTCCGATGCTAATAAAAGTAAAATTATATATTGTGATTAATTTTCAGAGCCGTCTCTTCTTTAGCTTTGTATAATAGTTCTGACAACACAGCATTTTTTGCGTAACAGTTCTGAGTATATATTACATGGGAACTACCTGCATTTCAGAACCCTTTTACTGAATTTGCATTACTTTAGACCTTATTATCAATTGTATAAAATACTATTTTTTTATATGTTTTAAAAGTCAATTTTTGCAAACAAATATAATTTTTTTTTCCACTATCGAAATTTTTTCTTCCTCTACTGTATTAAAAAAATACACTGTAAATGCAGAAATGAAATGTTACAATAAATAATTTAGATGTTTATCAACCTGATGTAGATTTTGCTCCTCAATAATCCTTTAGAATCAAAGGAAAGAATATCAAGAAGAAGTTTCCACAACTTTTAATTTTTAGGGGCTGACATCTTTAACAATGAATTATCAGAAATGAAGTATGCTAAACAATCAAAAGTTTTGGTTAACTCTTCTAGCTATACCTCAAAAAAACATTATAAAATAGGTTATTTTTATATCACGCAAAACTACTTAAATTAAAATATATGGAACAAAATCTTAATTTCAAGAGAATTATAACATTAAATTCAGAATTTATCTAACTTCTAATAATACAAAGTTTTTTAATAAAAATATGTCAAAGAAATCTTTATTAAAAGTATAAAAATACATAAAATACACGCATATAAAATAAATTTTGTTCTTATATCATGAATTTAATTTTGCAACATATGATGAATAATGGTTCAGGTTAAAGAATTTACAACATCAGTAATGTTATCACACATTGGCAAATAATAACATGTTTACTATAATCATTTGAAGTTGGTCTGTTTTGCTTGATCGGACTAGGTTTTATACGGCGAAGGGTATTTTGACGACGATTACGCCTATGTGTCCGAGACGTCACAGCTCCAGGCGATTTTTTCCATAAATAATAAAATTCTACTAGATCAGCCTAAAAAAAATTACAGTAATCAAAACCTGATTTAAGACATCATACATAATAAAGATACTAGCAGAAAAAGAGAAGTGATAAAGTATTATAGATAACAGTCTAAATTAACAAAACTCCTCTTTAAGAAAATTTGCACATTAACTTGCAAATTTTCAAAAATGCATCATGCTGTTTTTTGAATTGTCAGCAAGTTTATAGGAATAAGGCACTACTGTTATATCTTAAGCTACAACATTAGCAGATCATCATTTCTAAGGTTACCGTAACATACAGCGATTGTCATTATTAGGAAAAAAAAATGTAGTAAACAATACGCCATCTTTTTTTATTTTTTAATTAATAACTTCTCATGGCATTACAAAGATATTGTAATATTTTATATACAGTATTTAAAAATGTAGTAAACAATACGCCATCTTTTTTTATTTTTTAATTAATAACTTCTCATGGCATTACAAAGATATTGTAATATTTTATATACAGTATTTGTTCTTAAAAACTAGCAAATGCTTTATTTATTCGCACATAATGCATCGGAAAATGATTAGAAGTTTTTCGTGCCTTCTACCTTTTCAATGCTTATTTTACAGACTAAACTTTGTACCACTTCTATATTAAATAGATGGTTAAAACTAAACTAATAAACATTTAAATATCTCATGGCTCTGTTATTGGTGAGTAATATTAAACTGTTAGACAAGCAAAGAAACTTTCAGCATGTTTGTGTTTATTTGTAAATAACTGCATATATACTTCTGAGAAGAGCACTTTGTACAGTATTTTTAGAATTAAAGAATATAGAGCAGACTAAACTGAAAGAGAAAATAAGAAATATTCCATCAGACTGAGTGAAAAAATAGTGAACACATTAAATAAAATAAAAAAACTTACAGTTGATTACGGGAGGGGGTAATCGTAATATTTTTAGAATGTTCTGAGGACTTCTGAATATATTAGATATTTCAGTAAAGCAACAACTGTAGAAAAGATTATCTCCTTGCAGTATCTCTCTATCATTTCCATGAATAAAAATTTATAAAATTATTCACATTTATTAAAAGTCATCTTTAAAGTAGAGCGAATGAAATGACAAATATTCATATTAATTGTATACATTATCTGCATAAAACCATAATGCATTCTTGCAAACTTTGAAATATATATAAAAAATAAATAAATAAAAAAAACTGAGAAATTTTTAGGAGGGCCTTGATTGAATACCATAAGCTTTTAAGCAGGTTTCCATATTATGCAGTGTTACCATTTCAAAGTACTTCAAATTGACTTAAATTCACTTTATCATGCATGATTCAGGTAACTAAACTATCTATAATACGATTCTGATATATCTTAATTTGATATTGTAATTTTCTCACATTCTTATACTGAGAAAATCTTGCTTAAAAAAAAGCTTATTTATTTATAAAAGAACTTTCTCAGTAAAAGCTAAAAATTAAAAATAGAAAAACCAGGAAATGGGATGAAAAACTGGATGAACTGGCAGCTATGTATAATGCTTTAGATTTCCTTCTCAAATGGTAAGGATGGCTCACCAGCAGCCGAGTGGTTAAAGCTGCTGAACACTGGTAGTTCGAGTCCCGGCGAACGGGCTGGCTGCATGGGCACTTCCGTGGTTTTCCCCATGTGTATTGTTGATATGAGCCAGTTTTCCTTAAAAAGACCTCCACGGGGCATCCCTCCCTTTCTGTGTAGTGCCTAAGGGCGGAGCACGTTATAAGCAAAAAAAAAAAAATGGTAAGGATGTATGAGACAACCTGAAAAGTCGAATGTGGTTCTGACAGAAAAGACAAAGCTGCTGAAATCAGAGTAATATTGCTTGTGTTTTTTGTAATATTTCAGACTTCCAGTCAAGATCACTTGTATTTAAGTATTCTTCTGGACTTTGAACTTTAACCAGTCTTCTTTCAAACTCTCCAAAATGCAAGAGTAATTAAATTACACAATAATTAAAAATGAATGTTCATATTTTGCTGCCTAAATGATGCTATTATTTAATATTGTTTTTGTCACTCACATTTCATATCATCCTTGTTTAACTGTAAAAACAGAAATCATGTACTATTTGTAACTCTTAAAAATTCACGATCCTTCTAGCAAACATTGGTGGTAAGAGTTTTCTGGATATTCCTCAATTTTAGAATGGTTAGAGGTATTAAAAGCTGTCACAGCAATTTTCTTAGGATATCGAAGAACATTAAAACCTTATTCAGTGCTCAATATTGAATGGTAAAGCAATTTTGTTTGATATATATGCATAAAAATGTTGTCCTTTATAAAGAAAAAAAGTTGTAAAACTACAAAAAGTCACTTTGCAACTGTAAAATCATACGAGAATACAAAGAGTTTCTACAGTTTAATATTTACAATGTTAGTTACTGTTTAATTTGATTCTTCCCTGCAATCACTGAAAATTCTTCTTTAAATTTCAGATATGGTAGCTTCTTGGGAATAATATACACTGAAACTTATAAAAATATGCATCATAATTTAAAAACAGCCACCTAGATGGGAAAGTGGTTAGTGACTCTGATTGGCATACCAAAGGACCCAGGTTCGAATGACACAGAAGGCATGAATGTAATTTGTCCATTCCTCACCTATAAGGTGTATTCATTATCCTCACCTGTAAGGTGTCTCCACAATAAACAGACCACTGCTTCTGGCCTTAGCAGCAGACAATGCCTATAAACATTTAGAGCATGCCATTAGGGAGAAAATTTTTTTAAAATATTTTCATATTTCTTTACCAGTATATATCTCTTTGGAATTAGACAAATTTTGCATGCCTTCTGGATTTAAATTCATTAGTATATTTTCATATTATGGCAAATATGAATATTTTCTTAAATATTTACAGTGTCAAAAGTCTTTAATCCGGACTCGTCGAGACTTCGGCGATTATATTAATTAGAAATTATAAAATTAAAAATATGAAACTGTAATTTATGGAATAAAGAGCAATTACGATCTAAAGGATACCAAATTTTTTTTTTTTTTTTAAAAAGCAAGCTTAATATTTATTTGTTTACTTTATTAAACATTTTTTTCAACGGGCGCATGCGTAAAGCATACATTACGCATAGTCGAAATTAGAAAAATTCCAACTAGAAAACTATTTGATGTGTATTCGCGATATTTATAATGACGAATTTGATTTAAACCATATCAGAGATGGAGTACATCGAGATGAAATACTACATTTAGTAAGGAATTAAAAGCTGAATAAAATAAAAACATCTGCCCTGAAGATAAGAATAGTACTGACAGATCAACTTCCAGTTCATTGCGCACCGCGACGTTTATACTGTTTCGATAAATATATAGAAAATGGAGCAAAAAATTTGTGTCGTTGTAACGTTGAATTTTCCAAAAACAATAAATGTAAAGGAAGAATTTACATTGATGCAGTTACGGGTCAATTTTTAAAACTTGTTCGCAATCATGCTCATGATGGAAATGCAGCACGCATGGAAGTTGTCCGGACTTTAACATCAATAAAGCGAAAAGCTGTTGAAACACAAGAAACTCCCGCAGTAATTCGCATGGAAGAAACGCATGAGCTGTCTGTTGGAGCATTAAGACAGTTTCCAAGTCGAGAAGCTGTAAGATTAGTTATTAAACAACGTAGAAAAGACATAAATGCAGCCCTGTCGCAACCAATTGACAGGGCTTTCACTGAACTGCCAGAAATTATGGAAAAAATGACGAAAATTTTGTTATCGGCGATTCGGGATCGGGTGATCAAGACCGAATTTTAATTTTCGGAAAAGACAGTGTCAGCGATTGGATTCACCACGTAACAAAAATTTACGTTAATGGAACTTTTAGTCTAGCACCAAATCTTTTTTCCCAGGTTTTTGTTATTATGGTCGAATGCAGAGGTTTTGGTACTGCCAATCATTTATGCTCTCTTACCCGACAAGGCGGAAAAAACATATACACGCATGATTGAAATAATTTAAGACAACTGGCCACTTTTTAAGCCAAAAAAAATTTCTTTAGAGTTTGAAATTGCCTTAATTAACACCTTTTCAAGCAAATTTCCAAACACAGAAATTCAAGGGTGCTTGTTCCACTTTGGGAAAAATATGAAGCGCAAATTAGTAGAATTCCGTTTAATGCAATAATATAATACCGATACTGATTTTGCTATCTATGCACATATGATTTCTGCATTAAGTTTTGTGCCTTCTGAAGAACTTGAAAATGTTTTAGAAGTTTTGAGTGAGAATTTACCTAAAGAGTTAACCCCAATTTTAGATAACTTTGAAGATTATTACGTTGGAAGGATTCAGAAAAATAATCGTCGCCGTCATCCTACTTCTAAACCAGAAATGTGGTCATGTTATGCTAAAACCTTAAATAACGAAGGACGCACCAATAATTTCGCGGAAGCAGCGCACAGGCGTCTACAGTACGAATTTGGTGTTTCCCACCCCACATTATGAGAATTCATAGATGGTCTCATGCACATTCAAAAATCAATTGATCAATGTTATGAACGATTTGTACGTGGAGATGAACCACCGCACAAGCGGAATAGGTATCTGCGAGCTGATATGAGAATTAAAGTAATAGTTGAAGATTTTGAAAATCAAGAAATAATGGAATAACTGAAAGGTGTGGCGCATAATTTTGCAATGGATTAGTATAATAACAGTTCTGTGATGTAATCTTATTTATCTCTAATCTTATTTATCCGTAATTTTATTTGTCTGCAATATAACTTCTTTGTAACCATTTGTTTAATTACCATTTCTGTATTTTGCTTTTTTGATGCTGATTTGTAAAATAAATATTTAAAAAAAAAAAAAAAAAAAAAAAACCCTCCCTAATGCCCCGGGGGTTTGTGAGGGGGCTTCTCACTAATCTGGAACACAAACAAAAATCTAGAGCACTTTTACACATATACACACATATATTTATTTCAAATATGCATGCAAACAATCTCTAATTCAATAAATAAAAATCAGTCATATTACTTATTTATATTACTTCATATTTATTCTAAAAAGAAATAAAAATAAGAAAAAATTATGGCGTCGAACTGCCCCCGCATCGAACTGCTCCGGCGTCGAACCGTTGGTGTCGAAACGACCTGCTTCGCATAAAATTGCCCTAACAATCTGCAAAAAATAAGCCAGGTCCAATTAGAAGATTAAGGAACAACGCAATCTGCAACCTTAACTGAAATAGATAATTAGATAATTTTAGCTTAGCTTATACCATCCGTTATACATTAAATGCGCATGCGTAAACATATTATGCGCATGAGTAGACGCATTATGCGTACACGCATGCGCAGAAAGTTTGTAGCTTTGAGGTCCGGATTATAGATCATTCCGGATTAAAGGCTTTTGACTGTATACATTATTTAATGCCAATACAGAACTGCTCAGTGAATTATTTCTTCCAAGGTACTTCAAATTATACCCTCTGGCCTTATGAAACAAATCCATGCATAAAATAACAGGAAAAAATGCAAAATCTTACCGTTTCTTTATGAGGTAAAAGCTCTTTACGAATTTTGAAGAAGTTTTTCCCATACTGTCTTAAACCTTTAACAAAACGTTTCTGCAAAAATAAATAATTTTTCTTTAATTCTCTATATTAAAAATACATATAAAGATTATAGCATTTTTGAAAATTTTGAAGTCTGCATTTGCACACACTGAAACAACAACAAATTTAAACAGATACAGCTATTTTCAGATTACATGCATCTCTACAAAAAGTAGATAACTCCCTGCCAACTTTGGAGAAAAGCATTTATTTGGATACCTTTATGTCTATTTCAATAATGCATCCAGTGCTGATTATTATTATTATTATTATTTTACATTCTTCTTTTTCCATACAAGACATGCACTCTTCTTGATTTTTGTGCCAAACTCGGCACCAAATCTCTAAAATGAGAAGAGGGAGGGAGGAAAAAACATGATGCCTTTAAGCAAGCCACATTACATTCTATGCATGCATACAGATAAGCCTGAGATTTCATCAAAAATGATAAAAACTACAGTATGTGATCGATTAATGGTAAAATACTGAAATTTTCATAGGAGGGATAACTTGGAGTTCCAAAGAAGTGTAAAGCCATTTCAGGGTATGCAATGTGTATACTTGGGTTGTTACTTAAACACGTTTTTGGCGACACATGGCTTGCGAGATAAATTATTTTTTGGTGTCGTGGTGAGTTGTCTAATGGACACTTTTCTGGAATGATGAATAATCAGAAAGCAACTTTTTTTAAAACCAGGAAGGTGGGATCTTTCTGCCTGTGTAGAATTGCATGAAATTGTTTATTTAAACACCTTCTGGTGATAAAGGCTTTTCAGAAGAAGCTTAAAATTTCCTTCATAAAGTTAATGGTATGAAAATGTAAAATTAATATCATTTACTTGAGCCTAATAACTTCTTACCTGTTCTTCTTCAACCCATTTCTTTTCTACACCAGGTGGAATAGGATTCTTTACAAGAGCCTGCAAGGCTTTACCAGTGTCATAGCTACTTTCATGCAACTGTGGAGAAACAAAAATAATATATTAAGATAAATATTGAAATAAGATAGATGTTTAAAAATAATACATTAAAAAAGCTTTCAAAATTTAACTTACCAAATCCATGGCATTGATTGTTGTATCATCACGAGAGGCAGCTACACATCCATCTTCAGCAGATCCACCATCACACATGCCAGCAAATGCAGCCATGCTTCTGCTCAAACAATTCATTATTTTAGCACATATGTTCACATGAGTTAACAGTTCATTTTTTAAAAATAGTTATAATTTTTTTAACATTTTAAGCAATATTTAAAGAGTGAATTTTTGCTATCAATCATTTCATACACAATATAATATATTCTAACAAGTGGAATATGATCATATACACCAAGAGCTTTTCAGCAAAATGACAAAAAAACTCGACTAAAAAATTACATCTGTTTATTTAAAAATGGTATGAAAAATATTCTACATTACAGAAGACGTAAAAGCCAATTTTATAGCTAAGAGGGGACACACATAAACACTATTAACCACCACCCTAAAAAAAATGAAGGGAGGCATCAATTATACTCTCACGCATAAAGCGCTTTTTTCAGTATAAAGCAAATATTTACAACATGCTGTATCTCTGGCAGCAGTCCGTACTTTCCAATACCAGGAACGGGTAGAAGTATGCGAGACACAAGAAATTTATCACTTACAGCACAAGTATAGCCTGCTGCACTAACTGTGCAACTCTGTCCCAATTCTGAGGGATAATACCCCAGAGGGGCCCTCTTTTGCTCCCATCCCCTCGACAGGTTGATATGTATTTAGAGTAGACCCTTCCCTTTAGAGTACCATGTATTTAGAGTAGCTCACACACATTACTTACAAATATCCATGCCTTCTCCAGGATTTGAACATGGGCCAATCGGTATGGCAGTCAGTGTTACTAACCACTATACCACCTAGGCAGCCCTTCCAATTCACAGCTACACATGCTTCCAACTACAATCATAATGAAATGATAACAGACATAAAAATAATAATAATAATAATAATTCTCATGAAGACATATGCATGGTATAGACAAAACCATATACTTTGCATTTATAGTTTTTTAATCCAGGTTTTTCATGAATGTTTTTGTCATGATATAAAATCCTGTATATATTATTTTACTATACACTTATAGCGTCTTTATTCCTACCACTAAGTTCTCCCTCTCTCAAACATGCACCCACACACACACCAAAAAAAAATTTCAAATTCTCCAATTTTATTTACAAATTACTTTACTGAACTTTATTCATATGCACACTTCCTTAACTTTTACTTCAATTATTGTTTCACTAATTGACTCAGTTTCTGAATCAAGATTTTTCCTAATTCAATTAAGTATTACACGTTTTACTCTTATTTTTAATGCCACTTTGATAATTTATTTTTTATTACGATATATATTTAATTACACCAGACTTGATCAATCTAGAATTAATTTGAATTGAATTTTTAAAATGAGTATTTCCTAAGTAGGCACTTTTTATAAAACTTCCAAATTACTCATTTTATAGAGTCCTTAAAATGTTCTTACAAACCAAAAAAAAAGATATATCAAACACATAAAACAGAACTTCAAATAATAAAAATAGAATGCACTCTTGATTATCTATGCAAGACGGTGCCCATGTACGTATACTTAATACTGTTACGGATTTGGTATTTAAATAGTTAATGTTAGTAGAATTATAAATAAAATTATTTTATTCTCCATGCAGTGCAGCACATGATGAATATTAAAATAAAGCTAAGCAGGAAAATTAAAAATACAAGAGCGCGCACATTTAACATTAAATAAATAAATATCTCTTTTTGATTTCGAGAAAATACCAGAAAATTCTCGTTCATTTAAAAAGCTTACATAAGCGACATGAAAACCTCTCAATTCATTATTTAGTTAGTTGTTATTTTGAGAGTTTGTTTACAAAACTGCTCTTGTTGACTGCAGCGATTTCGCGGATTAGCTTTCTCTAGCTGTTTTGAATTAAGTTCTGTTTAACGTTAGAGTAGTTAAAGGATAACTACTGTGAGATATTGTAATACTGTACGAATTTCTCAGGAAATTCCAGCATTTTGTTTTATTTGTTGTGATAATAATAAATTTTGTCTATTTTTCATCAGACTTGTGCATTCAATTCAAAACGAACCCGTACACACGCAGCAATTTTTGGTGTCATAAGTGGGATTTGAAGGCCAATAACAAGAGCGATGGAAGAACAACTAAGGCAGTTAATATCAGCCTTTGCTTCGTTTAAGGAAGAAATGAAAGCGGGCCAGGAAGAGATGAAATTGGGCCAAGAATGAGTTAAAGAGATGAAATCTGTTAAAGGAGAGATTGCCCGCATAATAGAAAACAAATTCAGAATTGATGCTGTTGAAAATAAAGTTGGAGCAATTCAAGAGTTTCTTCTGTGAAAGAACAAATAAAAGAGAGAGTTTCTACTGTAGAGCAACAAATCGAAGGAAGAGTTTCGGCCGTCCAACAGCGAATCGAACAACAAATTGAAGAAAAAGTAGCTGTCATCCAAGAACATATTGAACAAGAAATCGACGACTGAGTTTTTGCAGTTGCCAAAGAAGTTGATAATTTAAAGAAATTCGTAGCAACAGCAGGGAGCAATTCAGATGGCTTTAAATTTCTGCTCATGCCTACTCGTCCCTTTCTGAAGCTATCCACATACGATGGAAAGACCTCTTGACAAGTGTATAAGATACAATTTTCTATAGTGGTGGAAGCAAACGGATGGGATTCCCAAGCTAAGGCTTGTTATCTCGCCGCTTCTTTGAGAGCAGACGCAGCGGATATCCTTCAGACTCTTCCCAGTAATCAAAGGCTAGATTTCGAAGCTCTGTCTGGCACATTGGGGAGAAGTGTTTAAAAGACTACAGCAGGCTTCAATTAAAATCCCGCCAACAGAAACACTCCAGGAGCTCGCCATGGATGTTGAAAGGCTGTCCCACCTCGCCTTTATAAAGTGCCCGACAAAAACGAGGGACATCCTGTCCCTGCAGTACTTTATCGATGCCATCCGGGATCGGGATCCTGAAATACAGAAGGCTCTACGAATGGCAGATGTCAAGGACTTAAAAAGCACTTCTGGTGTACACCATGAAATTCAAGGCAGCCCAGCAAGCAACCTGCAGAGATTACCACCCAATCAGAGCCGCTCATCAAGTACAAGAGCCAGTGGATAAACTGACTGCTCGTCTAAATGACTTAACTAGATAACTGAATGCCTTGAGACGGAATAACATTGAAAAGAAACCAGTCCTAAAGTGTTGGAACTGTGGTGTTGAAGGCCACATATGAAGGAACAACAGAACACTCCAGGGTAAGAAAAATGAGACAGACGAGTTAAACAGACAATTAAATGTCATGAGATGGAAAAGGAATGACAAGAAACCAAAGTGCTGGAACTGTGGAGCTGAAGGCCACATACGAAGGTACGGAAAATAAGACCATTTCCTGGCAATGACGGAGGAAACAAATTAATGACCATATTGAAGAATGGAGATTGCCAGATAATGAAAAACGGCGCTTTAAAGTGCTCAAGATTCCTGCAGTGAGTGGCAACAGTAATGGGCTATCCATCAATAGGAGTTCATTGTAACATGATCATTGACACAGGAGCTAATGTTACCATCATTCGGACGAATTTAGCTCAACAGTTTAAAGATAAACTTATTTGGATGCCATCCTGTGTTACCCTTCAGACTGCGTCTGGCGATAAGATCGACATAGCTAGGAAGTTACCGGTGAGCATCACATTTGGAAGTGCCGCTTACCATCACATGCCTTATATGGCAGATATTACAGATCCATGCATAGTCAAATTGGATCTTTTTGAGGAAATACAATTTTTCCTATGACTTCTAGGGAGCATCTGAGGACATGACTATCCATCCCTAGAAGAGATCCTCACCTGGAAATGTCGATATCTTATCTGAAAGGACCTGCTCAGAAAGCTGTCCTCAAGTGTTGGCTGAAATCATACTAGGGGAAGAAAAACGCCAGCCCTCTCCATCCCAGATGCTCTTTGATCGAGACCTTCGTCTGCCTTGTGACCGCCTGTTTAGTCACCCTATGGATGCGTCTTCATCGCCTGAGGAATACATCCAAGATATCCAGGCCCGTTTTGAAGTGATGCACCGTTCTGCACGAGAGCAAGTCAACTTGACGATGGAGAAAGTGAAGACCAGATATGACACGGGAGCTACTGGACATCGATTCGAAGAAGGAGACAAGGTGTGGTTGTGGAACACAATTCAACGAAAACAAGTCAGGCCTAGATTACAGTCAGCTTTGGGATGGTCTGTACAGTCCTAAACAGGCTGAATGACATTGTGGTTGGGATCCATAAGTCATCAAACTCTAAACCTAAAGTCGTTCATTACGACAGGTTAGCTCATTACTACGGACATAGTACGCAGTGTAAATAATTGTAAATAGTGTAAGACCATGATCCTTTTTGTTTCTAAATGTATATTTGATTTGACTTGTATTTAGTATTTGATTTGTACAGAGGCTGTTCGCACATTTTTTAGACGGTTTTGGTAAGCGGTAATAAAAAATCGTTTGCTGCAAAAGAAGTAATTGCAATTGTACTATGTTTTTAAAAGTCAAAATTATCATCTGTGGCTTGAAAGTTTTGTTTTTATTCAAAATGGCGAATTTAACAAAGCAGAGGTTTGAAGGCTACATTTACGCTCTTTCTGAAGAGAAATATGCATACTCCGCTATCCAAAAACGATGTGAGAGTCATGGTTTTGTGACATCTAAATCCTCGATAGGTAATATCATCAACAAGAAAGGAAAAAAAATGTCAAATTGGAGCCTCAAGTGGGACAAAAATTCCAAACAAGTGTCCAAGGAAAACGGACATCTTCGACTATTGCAAAGGTACGTTGTTTAATGTTAAAAGAAAATCCCCCTAGTCAAAGGACAGTTGCAAAATCATTACAATGCTCGGTGTCCACTGTAAACAAAATGATAAACGTTGATTTAAATTTTAAGAAAGCGAAAAAATGCAATGTGCATCGTCTTCTTCCAAAGCATATCGCTCAACGCAGGACACGCTGCAGAATTCTATATATGAGAAACACTTATCCAAAGAAAACTGGAAAACAATTGTCACAATAGATGAAGCATGGGTGTTATTTAAATGA